TTTTTGCCCAGAACAGAACCATACCGCCAAACCAAACTTTATGCTAAGTATCTATCATTTTGACGATAGTGGTCCTGACAGAAATTAAGCTTTAGCGTTAGTTCTGGCAGGTCACGTGAGTCAAGCTTGCATCAGCTGACACCTATCGCGGCATTCCTATATAAGCTCTATTCAGTATTATTCAGCAGCTTTTCAGCTTGCTCAGGAGCAAATTACCCTCCTCCATCCCCAGCTCCTCCTTTCGCCACAGTCAGGACTTGGCTTTCTGATATTCCTTGCTTTATCTGTATCTTTATCCTTTATCTTGAATAAAGTGTTGCACTTAAATATCATTAAGTACATTAATGATATCTGCCTTGTTCTGTTCTGTTAACCCTAGGGGTGGTATTATTGCTGCTCTCCCTGCTCATTCATGACAGGCTGCATGGATGGGCAGGGAGGTTTTTTTGCCCAGAACAGAACCATACCGCCAAACCAAACTTTATGCTAAGTATCTATCATTTTGACGATAGTGGTCCTGACAGAATTATACTAATGCCAGGGGTAGGCAAGTTCGGTCCTAGAGAGCCGTTGTCCTGCAGAGTTTAGCTCCAACCCTAATCAAAAAAACCTGAACAAGCTAATCAATGACTTCAGGATTACTAAGGCTATATGAGGGTGTTTTTTCTTTTCAATTCACTTAAGGATATATTTAGAAAGGGAATGTTTGAAGTTAGAGTTTGGGCTTTTTTTATTTGTGCATCCTCGTTTCCTTTTCTTGCATTTTAGCTGCCCCCCCCTCTTAGGATATAAGGGAAGGATGCAAGGAAAGAAAATGAGGACAGAGGAATCAAAGGAACTTTTATTTGTACATTGGAATTTTCTTGACCACTCAAGCGTCACTTCAAAGCATCATCAGCTGCACTAAAGGGATCTAGCCTTATGTTGAACAAGTTTGTTATTTAAGACCTTCATAATAAATATTTATAAAGCAAGATGCCTTGTTGAAATAAATTACATGTTTTATTTAAACTGCAAAGGTAAAACGTAAATTTAAATTATTTCGACAGATATGAAGGGGGAGGAGAATTTGTGTATCAGGGTTTTCACCAAAAAAGACTTCTGCATATAGGACATACAGGAGATATCTCCTCTGGAAGCCTCCTTGTTCCTCGCCTCCTCGTGGTGCAGTTAGAGAACTGAGATGTCTTTCAAGATGGCTGAGTTTGATCGGTTTCTGGGTCACAGGCTCGAGGACAGAGGAGTGAGGAAATGAGGAAGCCTCAATTTGAGTATTGAGAAGCACCCAATGTTTTTTTTCTTTTAGCTTCCAACAAGGTTGCACTCCATACTCCAGTCCAGTAGGTGGCAGAAATGCACCTTCTAGATGGTTTGCCAAGCACAATATAAACAACAGATGAAGAAGGTCTGAGATTCTCTGCTAGAGCTATATGTTCCACTTACTTTTTTAATGCCTTTCCCTTGCTAACCTCCCTCTGTCTCATTGACTCGGATGTACATCATTGATTACGTTGCAAGAGTGCCCACTACCGGCAGAACCCTTGCAATGGGTTGAATTGGAGCATCCTAAGACCTTGATCACCTTGATCAATCCCCTATGGATTTGATTTGTT